TGCTTACCACAAAATAACATTATGATTGTACATGCAAATCATATTGTAAATTAAGATTTTCATGGTTAAATAAAAACTGTCAATATGAAAGTTTTTTCAGCTTATTAATATTAGAGCTGTTACATAAAACACTAATTCCAGAATTGTCTCATTAAAGTCCACAGTGTGCACATTATTGTGGGAAACTAACTACAAAAAATCTGCATAAATATTTCATTGTTTTCAAATATATAATATGCATTTGTTAAGGTTTCTAGAGGGGACGTTAAGAATCCCTGGGAAGTGAAATGGGGAATTTCTGCAGAAATTGTCAAGGTAGAAGGCAGTGTTAATAGGAGTCCCTGGATTCCTGACCCCAAGGACCTTAAAACTAGTACTGAAATGTATGTTCTGACCACCAACCGTCCTCTCTATTCTTTCTGACTACTTAGAAAGTGAAGCGTTTGAGTGAATTGTGACTTAGTCCAAACGTAACTCACAAAGGGATTGTGGTGACGACTGAAAGCTGATAGAAGTCTGTACTCAAGCTTTCGATTTGATCTTCCTTTGCCTTTAAACTGAAATATCTTCGGAGCTTGTTTATAAAAGTGTTTGAAGTGTTTTTAATGTATATTTTTAGAACTGCGTTACCTAAAATATTCAAGGAAGGTAAAATTAGGCAGTTTACCATCTTTTCTCCCCGTCCCAGATAAGTTTCCTCAGATAAATAGAGATTGCTGAATGTTTTAGTTTAAAATAGAGACGTTATTTAAGAAGAGAATTTCATGGGCAAAGCGAAAACACACGTCTCCCGAGCACCTTGCGCCGGCTCGGGCGCCTCCAGGAGGGTTTGGTTTAGTCCGGTGTTAGAAAAGCGCCGCACCCCGCCCGCAATGGCGGGGCTCACGGGGCTCGGAGCGGAGAACGCGTTGAGCGTGACGCTTTGAGGATGAGTTCAGCTGTTGACAGGTCACACCGCTTTTTGCCGTAGCCGGGAGGCACGGGGGCATTTCAGCCTTGCTGCCGCAGGAGCGTGCGGAGGACAGCCCGTAACCATCCGACCCTTTGCTCTTGTCTTGGCCATGAAGATTCATTGTCGACTGAAGTGCCCGTGAGACTCGTGCCAGGGAACCCTTGCCAGGCAGAGGAGATCGCAGCTCGGTCTTTCGCATCCGATGGGGGCCTGAGATGAGTCCGTCCCATGGGGTCAGCTCCTAGCCCTGGTCGGGAAGACGAAAGGCAGCTGGCGGGTAGAACTCGAGAGCAGACACCCAGTCACATCAGGAAATCTAGACAGCCCCATACCTGTGCTACGAGGATCACACGCGCGTCTCCTGCCCAGAAGGTGAGCTCCTCTCTCTCGCAGACGGGTGGCTGTAGCAATACAGCGTCGGACTGTCCGCTGACTCTCCCCTTCGGGCTCACATCTGGCCCCCGTGCCTCTTACGAGCTTGCGTGGGAGGAGGCGAAAGAACCATCAGTCCCGCCGAGGTGAGAAGACTTGGTTTCGGAGCCTGACATGTACCCACGTTAGAAGCACGATCGCTACAGGGCAGGGCCGTTTGTTGTGCATGTAGAAAAAAACAAACCCTAGTGGATGAACCAGACGCGTTGCGACGCGGGGTTTGGCCAGGGGCGGGAGCTGGGCTTGGTTGCGGTGTCGGGTCGGCGCTCTCCCCAGTGCCTGGAGACGTAGCCAGGCGCTCCGGCGGCGGCTAGCCTGGCCCCGGCGGGAGGGGATTTCACAGGCATGCGGCGCTGGTCCGCAAGCAGGTGAGTGGAGATGGCTCCGGCGGGCCGGGAGCAGCGCTCGGGGCCGGCGGGCGGAGGGGCCCAGTGGGGTCAGGCCAGTCCGCCGGGTAGGGTGTGTGCAGCCAGAGGGGAGGAGAGGGGACGCGTCCCGTCCAGCTGCACCCTCCAGGGCGAACGGCTGGGAGCTCGCCACGGCGCTCGGCAGTTCGGACTGGCGGGGCCGCTCCATTGGTTCCACGGCAGATTCGGGGAGCGGAGCGGAGGATCCCTTCCCACGCCCCCTCTCCCGGCTCCGGTGTCTCGCCGCCCCGGGTGCGCAGCAGGTTGTCTGACACCCACTCGGTGTTCATGGCCCGGCTTCGCGCAGTCTGGGTTTCCCCGTGGCAAAGGCACGTCCGCGGAGCTCGCTGTTCCCCGGCGGCTTCGCTCAGCCTTCGCACCGCGACACACCGGCGATGGTTTCCTGTGGGAAACTCCAGCGCCGGCGAGCTCGGGGCAGGATGGAGGGGGGCCGAGGCAGGGGGGCAGGACACCCCCGCCGGCTGGCAGCCGCCCCGCTCTGCCCCGCACCGGAGCGGAGCTGCACCGCCGCCGAGCTCTGTCCCGCCCGGTGTATTTCCCCGGCCGCCGCCGGTCGTTACGGGAGCGCATTCTCCGCGGGCCCTTTAGCGGCTAGAGGGCGAAGGGATTGTCCCGGCGCAAGGAACCAGAGACCCGCAGCGAGCGAGGGGTGCGTGGCCCGCTTCGCCGGCCCTCTCCGGGCGCTGCGGCGAGCTTTCTGGGACCACTGCGTCCCTCCTGCCGCGCTCGCAGTCTGGACAGGCTGACCTGTTCACACGGCCGGGTCGGGATTGTCCACACAGCCGGCCGGCACAGAGCCCTCCACAGGTACCATCTAATCCCGGCACACTGCCGGGACTGGCTCTGGCCTGTCCACACGGCTGGCACGGGCCCGTCCACACTGAACGGTGTAACCCGTGCGCACAGACCCGGCCACACCCTCGGGTCTGGCGTGTCCACACAGACCGCTCTAACCCGTCCACACGGCGGGGTCTGGCCTGTCCACACGGCCGACACAGATTCCTGCACGGGGACCGGTCTAAGCCGCCCACACGGCCGGGTCTGGGCTGTCCACAAGAGGGCTTCGACCTGTCCATGGGGCCGAGTCTGGCCCCTCACAGGGGCAGTCCAGCGCCCAGGCCTCCCTGCACCAGCGGGTCCCGCTGGTCTGTACGGGGCTCGCCGCTCAGGAGCCGGGCTGGGCAGGGCTGCTGGCTGCGGAGCGGGCAGGCTCTGGGGGCTCGCCTCGAGGAGCTGTGAGCGATCCCCGCCTCGTGTGGACACGGTCCTCTCCCAGCCGTCGATGCGGGGCGCTGGGCAATGAGGGGCAGGGAGGTCTGTGTATCTTGGGGCGCTGGAGCTGGGGGGGACTCTGCACATGGGGGATTGTGGGGGTGTCTCTCGGCGGGGGCTGCACACAGGGGCTCGGTGGGGGTGTCTCTGGGTGGGGGGCCGGCACTGAGGGTGTCTCTGGGGCGGGGGGGGGCTGCACAGAGGGGCTGGGGGGGGCGGCACTGAGGGTGTCTGGTGGGGGGGCTGC